CCTTGAAGCCGCGCCCGCACTCCTCGCAGGCCAAGGGCTTCTCGCGGCTGTGCACCCGCAGGTGCTGGCTCAGGCCTGCGTTCTTCTTGAAGCGCCGGCCACACTCTTCGCAGGCGAAGGGCTTGGCCTCGCGCTCCATCTGCTCGCCCGTCTCCGGCGCCCCGGCTGCGCGGCTGGGCCCCGGCCGGGGCTCCGCGGCCACGTGGCTCTGGCGGTGCTCGTTGAACTCGGCCACCCCCCTGAAGACGCGCCCGCAGTCGCCGCACTCCCAGCCCTTCTCCTCACTGTGCACGCGCTGGTGTTGCACCAGGAGGACCTTGAGGCGGAAGGCGGCCCCACACTCCTTGCACGCGAAGTGATGTTCCACCGGCAGCTGCTGCGGGCTGGTTCCCGGCGCCGCCGACTCCCCAGGCTGCTGGACCTTGGGGCCCGGCTCACTGGCCCTGGGGGAGCTGGTGGCTGCAGCCTCCTGTGGCCTGGCGTCTTCTCCCATTATGCCGGGCCGCCGAGGTGCCGTCTGCAAAGAGAAAAGACGGGCAGGCTGCCGCCAGGGGGCTGCAGGACAGGCTTGTACTGGGCCGTGGCCGTCACTGAGGCTGCAACCCACCCAGGGCCTGCGGTCCCCGCTGGGCCAAGGGCTGGTGCCCATCCGGCTGGAAGCCAGGGCCTGCCAGCCAGCGGGCCGGCGGTTGGACAGCCAAGACCTCCACCGCACCTCCCCACCGCATCGCTCCGGGTTCCCGTTCCACTCACCAGAATACGCAGGCTGGAGCCAGGGGAGGGTCTGGCAGCGAGTGCTCGGTACAGGTGAGGACCGAGACAGGGCTCAAACCTGGGGCTCCTGCGGGTGGAAAAGGATGTGGGTGATGTCGGTGGCCAGGTGCGACAGTGGCACGATGCACGGGCAGGGCCTGTGAAGGGGAAACCATTCGTTTCACACCCTGACCACGCTGCCCGCTTCCTGGCACAGGGCTAGGGTGTGTGCTGGGCCTGGGGTGGGGGCAGGTGGCTGTCCTGAGAAGGTGACGCTTCCCTGGGCTCTCCCATGACTGCGCTTCATGCTCCTCTGCGTCTCCCACATGTGGCCCCTTCCCTCATGCAGACCATGGTGCACACAGGTTTCCTCATGTCAGCCCCTCTCGACAGGAACCCCCCGCGAAGTAGCCATGTCACTGGCATCGCTTGCGTTCAAACAACAGTCTGAGGAGGCAGGATGAGTCTGTCTCATTTCGGGGCTCCTTTCTGAGCCACTAGCACTTGGGAGAAGCCTGCTGCCTCATGACGCAAGGGGTATGATGGTTCATGCTGGTGGGGGCGTCAGCCCTGCCACAGAAGTCACATTTCTGCGGAATACCAGTGCCCCGGCTCAGGTCCAGCCACCAGCATGAACACGGAAGTCACGGGCTGCGGAGCTGACGACGAGGCAGGAGGAAAATGCACACCGGCAAGGTGCAATGAGCGCCCTGAGCTGCTGGACATACGGGCCGTGAACAGAGAGGAGACTCGAGCCAGTAGTCCCAGAGCGGGCGGGGAGGGGAGAGCGTGACGGGACAAGCGGAGCAAACACCAGGAGGCGAGCGGAAGCGGGATCCCGCCCAGCCAAGGCAGACATCAGCAGGCTGCATCCCCAAGGCCGCAGCCCCTTGGCTGAGCAGCGCGCGGGCGGTGGCGCACGGGCGGGTGGCGGTGCAAACCTCCCGACGATGACCCTGCCAGACGCGTAGCCTGGGGATGGCACATGCAAAGGCTGTGGCGCAACAGCACGGGCGGGCTCAAGGGCAAAGCAGGACGGCGCGCAGCGCTGCAGCACGGAGGGCCTAGAGAACAGCAATGTCCCAAGACGCCTCGGCGGCCCCCAAACTGCGACCCTTCGTAGACAGGGCAGGCAGCGAGCAGCCCCTCACTCTAAGTGTGGCAGCTGGGGAGCGGGTGCACAGCTCCCCAAGGATTTGCACCTGAGAAGAAAGGACTCAGCAGCAGGGCCAGCCTGGCGTGTGCATGAAGCCAGCGAAGGCCTGTGTCCCCTGTCATCCGGGCAAGCCGTTGGAGCAATCTGCTATCTGAAGAGACCCTGTTTCCCATACAAATCCGACTGCCGGGTCCACCGATACAGCCCATTAAGAAATTTCCCCGCCATGGACATGGCTGTCTCAACGCCGAGCGGGGCGGAGCGAACAGCAGGTACTGGTCCCTGCGAGCCATGGCTGGCCACCGCTCTGTCTCGCTGCCTCCAGCCCGGGCCTTGGCCCGACACATGAGGTCGGAGACCCTGCCACCCCAGCCAGATGCTCTGGCCTACGCTGGTCCCAGACAGGCCTAGGTGGCTCCTCCCAAGGGCCCAGGCGTCACTCGAGCGTCATTTCCCTGCTAACTTTTGCTCTCCAGCCCCATGGGGCAGTACTGCGCACTGCCAGAAAGCCGTCCGCTGCGCGGCTTGTTCCAACCCTCTCTGGGCGAGGTAGCAACTCAGAGATGCCAGGGCAGGGCTCGTTTTTCTCTTGGTCACCCCCGAAGCCCCAGTATCCGCAGCAGTTCCTGGCACTGAGTGGGCAGGTGATAAATTGTGGGGGGTAACTGAATCTCAGGCGGGGGAGGAGCACGTCCTTTACCAGCACCTGGCACATGGCTCTGTGCTTCTTCCTTTGCCTACTTGATTTCCTCAGTGTGACCTGCAGTTACCACTGCCTGCACTTTCAGGGAGCCCGGATGCGGTTCAGAACAAGCATGGGTCCGAGATCGAAGGCACCTCTGAGCATGCCGGGGACAGCAGGCCACGCCAGAGGCCAGCAGGCACAGGCCTAATGTGAGTAAAGGCTTTGAGTCGAGGCTTGGAATCATGCCATCAGCACACTGTCCTAGACCCTCGCCACGCAACACAGACCAGCGCCGCCCTCAGCCACCTCGCTGAAGCGAGCGAACCCTCGCGACGCGCTCCATGTCGTGGAGCACACCCCGCCAGGTGCGCTCGCTGCGATCCCAGAGCCACAGCCCTGACTGCCAATGACCCTTTCTCATGCAGCAAGAGTGGCCGGCCCTTCCGGTACCCAGGCTCCAGAGGCTTAACTCAAGTGCACGCCAGGTCACCCCCCCCACAGTAACGGGGCCCATGGGTGTGCAGAGATCACTTAGAAGGAACTCAAAAAATGGGAGCAAAGCACGTTCGGCCTCCACAGAAGGAAGCGGAAACTTGACATAATTAACCTTCAGAGATGCCACTGAGGGTCGCGCAGAGATAACACACACGGAGCTGGGCCTCGGCCGTAGCTGACGACGCGTCCTCCGCCCGGGGCACGTCCGGTCACTCGGAGGCCATCTGCACATGCTGTGCTTTAGCATGGTGCAGCTGATCTTTCCAGACCCTCAGAGGGCCACCCTCTGCAGTGACGGATGCGGGTGCCATTCCTTCCAAAGGGGGCCTGGGAGGGTCAAGGTGACAGCCACTCCAGGCACACCAAGAACCTCGGGTTGGGGGGACACAGAGGATGGACCTTCCCCTGACCATAAGGTGCCCACGCCCCCGCAGAGAAGGACACCCCGAATCTGGGCAAGGGATGCTCCAAGGGAGACGAAGGGAAATAACAGGGTGTCCCTTGTTTAAATGGGACCGAGTCGCCCGACAATTCTACACTCCCAGCATCAAAGGCTCTCCCAAGCGCGGTGGCGGGTGGGTGCGGGGCCCAGCTCACGGCCACAGACACTGCAGCTGTTTCACGAACACAGGGAACAGCAACTCTGTCCTGTCCAGCCCACTCCACCCGGAAAGCACGTGAGGCTGCTTCTGAGCTGGAGCGCTCAGGGTTTGATCAAATCCCCTCCGCACAGCCCTTCCCCCCTGGGCCGTGGGGCCACCCAACTGGATGGATCCAGCAGCTGCCAGAAACACCTGGACTTGCTGGAACATGGAAACGAGGACCTGCACGTAATTCGAACAGTGCCCCCAGCACCCGAGTCCCGACGCGCCTCTTCTCCTGTTGCTTCCACTGAGAGCTGGTTCTGGGCTGAGGATGGCTCAGTGACTCTGACACTGACACACATGAAGGCAGAAGCTCTTCCCGCACAGAAACCGGCTTCTCACCATCTTGCATTCCCACCCCAGGGCTTCCACAGCCTAAGGCCACACTCGGCCCACCACACACAGACTTACCCAAGGAGACGGAGGGATGGAGGGACGGCGGGCAGCGGCTCAGAACCACTGAGCACGATCAGGCGGGTCGCTCGGGCCCCTGCTGGAAGGAGATGATCATCAGGGTGGCCAAAAGCTGACTAGGGTGCCCCTTGTGGGGACAGGTCTGCCGGGGCCTGAGTGACCGTTCTGAGGGTAGGAGGCACTGAATACCCACTGTCGACACTCCCTCCAGATCAGGCGGGCCCACTGGCCAGAGCCCGTGGCTCGAGGTGGGCCCACTCTGTATGCGACTACTAGAAGTGGCAGAATCCTCAAGGGCCGAGAGGGAATCTCACCAGGAAAGTCTGTTTCTCTCGGGATATCTGTCTGTGTGTCTTTTTCTGTGTGCGTGGGTGGGGCGGCATCTGTGCCCGCTTCCCCAGTTTTCCTCGCTCACTCTGCCTGGGCACCTGCCCCTCTCTGTTTAGGTTTCCATTTTCTTTCCTTTCTATAAAAAGCCAGAAGGTGGACCAGAAGGGGATTCTGCAGTGTTTGTTGTATTTAATTGAGGAAGGGTTTATGTTCCCATGTTCCCAAGAAGACGCATGGCAGCTTCCTAAAAATCAAAATAAATTGTAAGTATAGTTTTGTTGACGTTACGCTGCCCTGGAGGACTCTACAGGGAAGTGGGAGGCGCTCTGGAAATCCAGGGGCGCTGGGTCACGCAGGTGGCCGGCACCCTGGGGCCAGGGCTGGATGGGTGCAGTGAGCCCTGGCTTGGGGGCCTGCTGAGAACTGCTGCAGAGCAGTGGGTGTGGATGGTGCCAAGGAACCTGCATTTGCACTGCCCCTGGGGCTGGAACTCGGGGCAGCACCTCCTCAGCACCTGGCCTGGCCTGTCCACAATCGGGAGGTCGCCGGGCTGCTCGTGCTCAGCTGATAAGGAGCTCCACAATGGGATCCTCTCTTTGACGATGGTCAGATTGGGAGAATTCACTCTCCAGTGATTTTGTCTCAAGGGGTGTCACACCTGAAGGCTGGAAACCTCTGTTCAACGGGACTGTAAATGTCCACCCCAGAACATTTGGGTGGTGGGGTGTGCACTGGCCCATACTTGGTGCTGTGCAAGCTGTTTCTGCTTAAAGGCCCAATGGGGGAGGGGCAGAAGAAGGGGGTGAAGCAGCCTTAGTACCCAGAGGGGGTGCTGTTCCAGCAATGCCAATGGAATCCTTTGGTAGGAGAAACATGTCAGGTCTGAGGTTGAAAAGAAAAATCTGTACTGACCAAAGTGCCTGGAGGGGCCAGCAGCCAGGCGAGCCAACCCTGGCTGGAGGGCATAGGGTGGGGAGAGGGCCAGGATGGGGGCGCCCGGACTTCCAAAGAGATCATGGGCTTTGGGCTGCGGGTGAGTGTGTTGGGAGGATGGAAAAAGACCTGTAATTAATCATCCAAATATAGGCTAGAGAAGGCACAGTGGAGTTTAAGGGGGGCACTGGGGTGGGAGACGGTGGCCCCCAGAAGAGGGCCGGAGAAAATCCCTGTTGGGAACCAGGGCCTTGAACTTGCTTTCACCCAGCCAGGGCTCTCCCCCTTCCACCCCTCTGCAGCCCTGGCACTCCAGGCCACCCGCCCTCCTCCCAAGAGAGGCTCGACCCCCCACCCCAAAGGCAAACGGGGACTGCACCAGTGGGAGCCATTGCCAACTCACCCAGCAGGCGCCCCCGAATGTGGTGGCTCAGGCCCTCCCCCAGCCTGGGGAAAGGCCCTTTAACTCCCCTCCAACGCCCCCCCTCGGCCCCCTTCGCGCTTCGGGGGAGGTGCCCCGCATCCCACACTGATAGGTTCCCACGCTCCAGCCATCCATCCCCGAAAACTGGGTAAGCCTCAGCACGTCCGCGACCCGCCCCAACTCGCCGCCCGCCCGCTGCCGCGGGAAGGACTCCGGGCCTCCTCGTCCCCGCCACCCGAGACCCGGCCCAGCCCCCCGTCCGCCTCGGGGCC